GGATGTTTTCTTGATGTGCCCTTAACCGTTCTATAAAACTCTCTTATACATGAGTTTCTGTGGATTTGTTTCTCTAAAGTACCCAGACTAACACAGTCAGTGAGTCAAAGCCACCAGCTCTGCTGAGGAAAGAGAGGGACTGTCTACTCGTGAAGCTTCTCTGTGGATTGGAGTCAGCTTCATGGCAGTGGGCGGGTTTTTTTGGTTACATCAAATGATCAAGATGCCCCCTGGGATTATGAACCTAAGTCTTCCAGCCCAGTGACAGCCCCTCAAGGCCTTTGGTTGTGGAGAAGAAGTTTGCCTAACTTTGCCCTGGATATACTTGCAGCAGCGCACGAACCACATGTTGCCAAACCTATGTGTGCTCGGGCCTGCTCCCATGTGCTGGCGCACACCTGTTCGGCCTACGTCTCTCTGAGTGAAGGGACATGTCCACGCTTTGGTTCTCGACTGTCCCACCCATCTCTGGGAGCCGTCAGAGTGTGTCCGTCTGCGAGTCCACCTGCCCTTGGCTTTTTATCGTCGTGGTCTCCGCCAGCCTCTGCCTTCTATGCTTGACCCACTTCCTCAGCACCACGTCCATCCCCCAGCATCATTCACTTGATTCCGACCTTGCCTGTTCTTCTGCTGTGAGCACACACTGTGGCATAGCCAGTCATCTGCCCATGGGCACGTCCCTTGTTTCTGTCGCCCAGCCCTGGTGCCCAGTGCTGCGGTGAACACGTGTCTGGACATGTCAGGTGGGCTGGGGAGTGTAGCAGAATCATGTAGACTCTCGCTTTCTAACGTTTGGAGGAAGGGCCACGCTGGTTTTCACAGGGTGGCCTTGGACAACCCAGGGCACGAGCTTCCTGCCGCTTCGTCAGAGGCAGACTTGTTTGTGCCGGGAGGGCAAGAGCAGTGTGCAGTTGACACCCATCAGAAGGCGAGGTCCTGCAGGCTGCCTGCCATTGTTGGTGCTGTCTCCCAGGGCTGAGTCCCAGCCCTCTGCTGGCCTCCTGGGTTACTGGCCCAGTTGGCCCAGAGCCACCGTAAGCTGCTTATCTCAGATAGCAGGACCTGGGCTGTGCTCGCTCTGGGCTTTGTCTCACCAGCTCAGCCAAGGGAAGGCGGGGTGGGGGTGGGGGGTGGGTAAGGCCTCGTCCTGTGCTTGCCCACTCACTTCACCTGCCCCAGTACTGCTCCCTTGGCCCCCAGACCTCTTCCTGGACCTTAACTGTCTGCTGTGTGGCCTAGGCCTTGGTTCTGTCCACTTGAGGGGAGCCAGGCCTGGCTTCCCCTTGGACCTCCCTAGCAATCCGGTGGAGGTCATGGGAGCAGGATGGCTAGGGAGAGAGAGGGCCCCTTCTTGGGCCAGTGGGGAGTTGCTCATTGGGCTGGGAAAGTGGTGAGGAAGGGCTGCCTGAGGGAGAAGGTTGTAATTACCCCAGCAAATCCTTGCTCCTAAATCCCTTTCCGGTTCCTTAATTGCCCCTGAGGCTCTTGTGGCAGATCCTCAGACCAGCCAGGTATTTACTGTCTCAGCTCCAGACCTGTCCTTTTGGCAGGAACTCAGTGTGGGTAAGAGCGAGCGTGGCTTTGGAAGCCCTGTCACTTCTGAACTGAGTGACCTTGTTCCCTGTGAGCCTCGGTTTTCCTCGTCTCTGGAGTGGGAGGAACCATCAGACCTACTCAGGACTCTTTCACAGGTGCCATCAGATCCAGGGGTCTCTCAGGCGGGCAGGGAGCTCAGTCCCAGGCACACTCCGAGTGCCATTCTTGGTATCTGCTAGGGTTCAGTGCTTGGACTCAGCTCTAGTTCCCAGTAGCCTCTCAGTTGTTGGAGTCTGGGTTCCACCTGAGCTGGGAGCAGAGCATGGCGGGTGGTGAGTACTGTGTCTCCCTGGGGGGACAGAGATGACTCCTTTGCTTTCCAGAGCTCTCTGATGAGTTTCTGCCCACAGCCACAGGGACAGCAGAAGGCTTGGCTCTCCTGCTCGGCAGCTGCAGCTTGGGAGAGGCAGGCTAGTCTAGGGTGGCAGCGCCATCCCTCCCCCAGCAGTGAGGACAAGCAGGATGCTGGACTCAGAGGGAGTCAAGAGGGCTGCCCGCCCTCCCTCCCGTTTGAGAGTGTGCCTGTCTTACCTTTTGGATGATGGTTAGCAGGTTTATTTTGGAAGCCATGCTGTTCTTTATTTTTATTTTTTTTAACATTTTATTAGGGGCTCGTACAACTGTTATCCCAATCCATACACACATCAATTGTGTAAAGCGCATTTGTACATCGTTTCTCAAAACATTTTCTCTCCATTTAAACCCCCGACATTAGGTCCTCATTTTTCCCCTCCCTCCCCGCTCCCCCTTCCCGCATGAGCCCTTAATAGTTTATAAATGGGTATTTTGTCATATCTTGCCCTGTCCGACGTCTCCCTTCATCCACTTTTCGGTTGTCTGTCTCCCAGGGAGGAGGTCACACACAGTTCCATGTAATCGGTTCCCTCTTTCCTACCCATTCTCCCTTTACCCTCCCTGTTTTGCCACTCACACCACTGGTCCTATAGGGCTCATCCGTCCTGGATTCCCTGTATTTTCAGTTCCTATCTGTACCAGTGTACCTCCTCTGGTCTAGCCAGTCTTGCAAGATAGAATTCGAGTCATGGTAGTGGGAGCTGGGAGGAAACCTTTAGGAACTAGAGGAAGATTGTATTTCTCATCATTGTTACATCGCACCCTGACTGGCTCATCTCCTCCCCGAGACCCCTCTGCAAGGGAATCTCCAGTGGCCTACTAATGGGCTTTGGATCTCCACTCCGCACTCCCCCCATCATTCACTATGGTAAGATTTTTTGTTCTGATGATGCCTTACACCTGATCCCTTCGACATCTCGTGGTTGCATAGGCTGGTGTGCTTCTTCCATGTGGGCTTTGTTGCTTCTGAGCTTGATGGCCGCTTGATTACCTTCAAGCCTTTAAGACCCCAGACGCTATACTTTTTGATAGCTGGGCACCATCAGCTTTCTTCACCACATTTGCTTATGCACCCATTTGTCTTCAGTGATCCGTTCGTCACCCCGTGATCACACAGGTTGATATGTTGTTCCATGTGGGCTTTGTTGCTTCTGAGCTAGATGGCCGCTTGTTTACCTTCAAGCTTTTAAGACCCCAGACGCTATATCTTTTGATAGCCGGGCACCATCAGCTTTCTTCACCACATTTGCTTATTCACCTGCTTTGTCTTCAGCGGTTGTGTCGGGAAGGTGAGCATCATAGAATGCCAATTTGCTAGAAGAGAGTATTCTTGTGTTGAGGGAGTACTTGAGTGGAGGCCCAATGTCCTTCTGCTACCTTAATACTAAACCTCTTTATTTTTATTTTTAAAAATTGTGAATTAGGTGCGGGTTTTACATTCAGATCATCAAATTCATATTCACTGATTTGAGCTACTTTTCAACTCCCCCATATCCTCCCCTCTCCCTTTATGCTGTTTATTATTTAATGTACCGAAGGGGCAAAGGAAAAATGTCACAAGTCAAATGGGGGCGGGGCGGACTTGCCTTGGCCATGAAATCCCAAAGGGCAGAAGCAGGCTCAGAGATGAAGGGCAGCTCCCGTGATGCTTTGAGCCTCAAGAGTGGTCCCAGCCCACAGTTCCCTAGCCCCTCTCCTCCAACAAACCCCAAACAATAGCAGTGGCAGCCCCCTGTGTTCAAAAGCCCGCTCCAGAAAGGGGAAGGGGTGGGGGGCTTGAATTATTCATGGCCCAGCTGGGCCAGCAGCTGGGGCCTGGCTTCTGTTGGCTGGGGAGCTGCCTCCTCCATCCCAGCCAGAGCTGCGCCAGAGACCTCAGGCCTCCAGGGAGCTCCGGAGCTTGCTGCGGCTTCCTGGGGCCAAGCTTAGGGCAGCAGCCATCGCTGCCGCCACCGCTGCCGGGCTGTGGGTTTGGTATGTCCTCGGTAGCCCTTTCTGGTGACCGCATAGTTGGGCCTCTGACCCAGCGGTTGCACAGAGCCCGTGGTGAGCTTGTTTCTCACAGGTCAGGTTGCAGTGAACCGGTAGAAGTAACTCGACCCGTGAACAGTGAGGGATTGGCTAAATGATGGGGCATTGGTTAAGTACAAAATTCACGTATTGAAAGAAATCATACGATTTTGCTTGAGAGTTGATGTGGAATGAAGCTCAGGGTATGCTGAGGAAAAGGAGCAGCCAACAGGCCCTGTGAGCTGCTTGTTCAGGTGGTGTGTGCACTGAAGCAGACTTGTTGTCTGAGCCCATGCCCTGTCACAGCCCCCGCATGGCCGAGGGAGGCAGGGGTTGATGATCAGCCCTGATCTCGAGGTGAAGACTCAGGCCCAGAGAGTTGGGGTTCCTACTCATGGCCTTGAAGCGACTCAGGCTGCTTTACCTGTGATTGGAATCCAGGTCCACTGGCTTGAACGCTCTCGCACCACGAGCGAGGTAGAGAACCCGACGCCAAGTCCAAGGTGAGGAGGGAGAGTAGGTCAAAGTGCCAAGGCGGTGTGTTTGTGGACGGCAGGATCACGGCCATTGCCACTTCCTGTGATGGGTAGGTGTCCCTGCGTCCTCTAACACCGACTTTAGAAAGCAGACAGGGGCGGCGTTGGCGCCGGCACCGCAGCTCTCCTCTTCCCTCCTCTTACAGGCCATCGAGAAACTGGTCGTTCTGCTTGACACACTGGACAGGTGGATTGACGAGACCCCGCCCGTGGACCAGCCCTCTCGATTTGGGAACAAGGCGTACAGGACCTGGTATGCCAAACTCGATGAGGTGAGGCTGCCGCTGCAGAGGCGCGAGAGCTTGGGGCTGTGGGCTGGTGACTGAGGCCGCAGTGAAGACCTGTGGGGCTGGGGTAGTAGGAAGAGGGGGCAGAGCCCATGCTGTTTGAGCCATTGGGGAGCATGAAATCACTGGGGAGCATCTAACCTCAGCCCCAGTTGTCTCCTGGGAGTGCACTTCATGTCCTGCACACAGGCTGCGTGTGAAGTCAGTGTGACGACGGGAAGTCTCATAGTGTCCGTCAGTCAGTGACTCGGCAAGTAAAGCCGGTGCGCCCAGGCCCACAGCAGCTCTCAGTGGACTCCACAAAGGAACAAGGAGGGGGTTCGGGGGAGAGGGCTTTAGAATTTATCTTCTGGTTCAGAAGAAGGAGCAAAAGCCAGGTGTAACGACACACCGTGTTTGCTCGGGTATAAGCCGAGTTTTTCAGCACAATTTTAATGCAGTTTTTGTGGTAAAATTAGGTGCCTTGGCTGATATTCGGGTCAGCTTATACTTGAGTCTATATGGTACATGCTAAGAGAGCTTTTGGTAAGAAAGGGAAAAATAAAAAGGTAGGTTGACGTTTGTATATAATGCTCATAGTTACATGAAGAAAGATCCCTGGAGGATCCCGAGGAGGGTGGCTTCTTTATGAGGGCAGGGGACGGAATGAACTTCTAAATGTATATATTTTTATAATGTTTTAGTTTTGAATCTAGGAAGTTCAAAAAGTCAGTTTTAAAGCAAAGGAAAAAGATAATACTAGAATTTCAGGTCTTCCTGGAAGAGCGGGAGCTTGCAGCTCCGCCGCATTGGGCCTGGAGTTCGGGTTATAAGCAGAGTCAGATGCCAGTGTCCACACACAGATGGAGCTCAGAGAAACAGCCCCTACTTGCTGTGGCCTAGCGCCTTCCTGGGAGCGGAGGGGAGCACCCAGGACCTGGCACAGGTCTGCCTATGGTGAAGAGCTGCCTGGGTCCCCTCTGGGCCCACAGATGACCCGTGGGTACTTTTAAAAAAGATTCTCATTTGACTTAAGTACAAGTGTTAAAAGGTTTTAATACCAGAAAGCTGGGAAATCATAATCACAGCTGTACAATTAGTATGGTTTTACATGTGTTCCTGCCTCCAGCGCCAGGCACTCACCACCCACATCAGGCTACAGAATATTCTAGCACTCCAGCAGGGCTACTTGTGCCCTCTCCCATTTAATATCCCCCAGTTCTTCTGACTTCTGTTGAAGTCTGAAACACGACTGGCGTTGCTGGTGTTTGAAGTTCTTGTCTCGGTCTGACAGCTTGTGCTCTTGTGTGTAGCAGCTGATCTTTTCCACTGCTGCCTAATCGTCCCTGTAGGAATATACCACAGTTTATTTGTCCACTCTGCTGTTGATGGACACACCTGGTTGCAGGTTGGTCACACTTTTTAGCTGCTATGAATTAACACTGCTGTGAGCATGCTTGTGTTTGTCACTTGGTGGCGAACGAAGGAAACCTTCGCTACCCTGGGAGTGGGGGAGAGAGAGAGGTCATGTTTGGGCTAAGGTCTTCACGGGCTCCAACGAGCTCCCAGATGAGGAGGTTGAAAGGTCCTTTTTCAGATTGGGCCTGTTTGGTTCCTAGCAGGGAGGGCAGCAGATGAAAAGACACCCCAGGGTGGCCTCCCTCTTCTGTCCAGGCCGCCTTGCCCCTTCCTTCTGGGTTAGGGAGCCAGAGCAGCCGGGGCCCCCAGTCAGATGCTGCCCTTGGGTGACTGCCCACGGGCGTGCCGCCTAATCTGCTCCCACCACTTTGTGCCTTGTGTTATCAGGAGGCAGAAAATTTGGTGGCCACGGTGGTCCCCACCCATCTGGCAGCGGCGGTGCCTGAGGTGGCTGTTTACCTAAAGGAGTCAGTGGGGAACTCCACGCGGATCGACTATGGCACAGGTATCGCCTGCTCTCGGGCCCACTGCATTCTTCCCTTGGGCAGCCTGCTCTGCACCCTGCATGGTCTTCAGCCCCTCTGAGCAACCAAGGCTTTGCCGAACTCCTGTAATCTGCCAAGGCCAGCGGGGACCAGCGCCCAGGGGTCGGGAGGCCTGAGGTGCTCCTGAGGTGCTAACGTGGCCCACCAGGGGGCGCTGTTGCCACGTTCTCGGAGCCTGCCTGCGGAGCCGACCTCTGTTCTTCATCCAAACCAGTCATTTATTGAGCCCTTACTAGACCGCAAGGCAGCCCTTCAGAGGAGCCAACCCGTTGGCAGCATGCTGGCACTTGCTCGCCCGGCCTCTCAGCCAGGTCTCTGTACCACCTGTACCAGGTCTTTGTCCGTCACGCTGGGCTCTGAAGAGGAGTGTGGGGGCACCTCACCAGGGGATAGTCTCAAAGCAAAGGGGAGCCTGTGGAGCGCGCAGAGTCCCTGCTTTGGCAAGGGCTCGCCTCACCTGCCCCCTTGAAGTGGGTACAGGCCAGAGCTGCTGCTCTCTCAGGTGTTCCCCAGCCCCCACCCCTCAGGGATTGTGGCCCCCCAAGAAGGAATCCAGGCCCAGAGTCAGGCACTGGAGAAGGGCCCCAGATTCTAGAACATTCTGTCCTCCGTTCCCCTGCTGCTGCAGAACTGGCTTATCAGATGCTCAGCGACTGTTGGGCACGGCGTGTTTTTGGACTAAGCCCAAACACAGGTGTTTCAATGACTGTCGACCTATTTATGAAGCCCAGTGCTTGGCCCACCCTCACCCTGGCCCCCGTTGCCCTGTTCCGGGTTGCTGCCAGCAGTACAGTGACACCCTCCACTGCCACTCGGTCCTCTGCAGGGGCTACGTTGCAGCTCTTTCTCTGTCGGGGGAGGTTGTGATCACACAGAGCAGGGACGCTCCAGGGGAAGTCTCGCCAGGTCAGCAGGCTGTGCGGTTTCTGGATTGTGTGCTTTCTGTAAGGGGAGCATCAGAGTCCACTGTTGCTTGGCCCCTGGCAGGTCTTAGTGGGAACTGGGCTGGGAGGGTGCAGCGAGCCGGGTAGGACTCTATGTCTGCAGAAACGCGTAGGAAGCCACCGAACTGCTCTTTGCTCACCTCCCTTGGAGCACATTTGCAGACACGGTGAACTGCGGTGTTCAGTCCAGAGCCTCCTGTTAGACAAGACTGGGAAAGGGATTGGGGCAGTTGTTTCTTTTTCGACTGTAGAAGTTGGAATCAGCTTGAAAGCAGAGAGAGTTTGTTTGTAACACATTCTCTGCTTAGTAGTGGTCAGTATTGCTCTTCAGATGGAGTCTTAACTCCTCGGGGCTGCTCAGGCCTCGCTGCCTTCTACCGCATCTTTTTCTGATTGCTTCCTTGCTCGCTCTGCGTTGGTTATCCTTGACGGTGTCGAGGACTTTGTCTTGTGTGGATCCACAATCAGTGCTCACGGAGGCAGCAGTCAAGAGGTCAAAAGATGTGTTGCTTTCAGTAAATCTGCTGCACAAGACCTCTTTATAGAGGATTGAAAAGCAAGGGTGTTATTTTGAGGACTAAGGTGCACTTGCCCCCAGCCATGGTAGTTTCATCCGCTTCATGTGCATGTGAAACTTGGACATTGAATGAGGAAAGCCACAGAAGAATCGATGTTTGAATTGTGGTGCTGGAGAAGAATAAGGCAAGGCCTTATTTCATTTTCCATACTTTGTGCATGTTGTCAGGAGAGACCAGTCCCTGGAGAAGGACATCATGCTTGGTCAAGTGGAGGAGGAAAGGCCTCAAAAAGACGGATTGACGCAGTGGCCACCGCAGTGGGCTCAGGCATAGAGACAGTGGCAAGGGTGGCTCAGGACCGGGCAGTGCTCTCTCTGTTGTGCACGGGGCTGGTATGGGTCGGAAACGACCGGATGGCACCTCACAGCAGTACAACTTCCTCTTAGCTTCTGGGGTTTCACGTGGGCCTGCCAACCACAAGGTCATTGGTTCAAACCTACTATCTTCTCTGTGGGAAAAATAAAGCTTTTGCTCCTGTCAGGCTTTAGTCTCAGAAACCCACGGGCCAGTTCTACAGGGCCACTGTGATGGCAGGGAGTGAGAACCTTCTCGGGCCTCTCAGACAGTTGAAGCGTTTTCTTGACTCGGGGCCTTAGCTCATGCTGTTTCTTCTGGCCAGACCCCTCTCCTAGCTCCCCCGCCCCCTTCACATTTCAGATGATAGGTCACTTTCTTAGAGAAACCTTCCTAGAACCTTTATGTAAAGGTCCCCCTGGGCTGTCCTTCTGGGACTCCTTGTACAGTAGATGTCATGCCTGTCTTCCCTGATGACTCCGGCGGGGACTTGTTTGGAACTGTCTCCCCAGGGCCTGACCTGCCCACCTAGTAGGTGCTCAGTAAATAGGGTGGACTGGATGAGCCAGCCAAGTCTGCACACATCTCCGTAAATGCCTGTTTACAGAGTCAAAAGCGTGGGCCTTTTAGGAGTCCCATGACAATGCTGGTAGTTCCCGAAACAGGGTCTCTGTGGAGATTGCATGCTGACTCCCTTCTTCAGAGTGGGCCCGTGGTCAGTGGTTTGGACCCTGGTCAGGCCAAGCAGCAGCCCCTTACCAACTTTTGGAAGACTGTCAACTCCCAGCTGTTGTCTTTCTCTCCCCAGGGCATGAAGCGGCTTTTGCTGCCTTTCTCTGCTGTCTCTGCAAGATTGGGGTGCTTCGGGTAGACGACCAAATAGCTATTGTCTTCAAGGTGTTCAATAGGTGAGCAAGAGGAGGTAGCGAAGGGGGGACCTGCGGGGTGGGGGTCTTTCCTCCCGAGTCGCAGGGGTGGCCCTCCCTTCCCTGTGCTCCTCAGACCCGGGTGCGTGGGCTGGCTCTCAAAGACTCGCTTCAGGCAGGTCAGCATTCACCTCCATGTAAAAGCAAGTGACTGCAAGGGCCTGCACCTTAGAGGCATTTCACCTATCAGCTCCATTCATCCTCGCAACTGCCCCATGGGATAGCAGCCCTCTTTCCATTGTACAGCTAGGAAAAACTGAGGCCACACACCCAGCAGTCCAGCTTGGGCCTGCTGCCCCCCGAGTTCTCCGAGCACCCTCCAGGCCGCACAGTATGTGTTGGAGCCACCTGGAGAGCTCGTAAAATGCCCGTCCCCGGGCCCCTGGCTGGGCCATGCTGCTCTGGGGTGTCTGAAAGCCCCGGGCGGCCGACCCATGGCGTGCCGTGAGAATCAAAGTCAACCCTCTCCCCTTTTAGAGGGGCAAACGGGGTTAGAGAAGGGGAGGGGGGCTGCCAGAGGGAGTGGATGGTTGGGGTCTGCCTTTTCGAGGCCAAGAGAAAGAAGGCGGAGTACATAGGTCAAAGGGAACAGGGGCTCCATGATTTTGCACGCCTCAGCGGATGTGCGCTGTGCGCCCATCTGGGCTAATGGCAGTCGAGACCAGGCACACGTGCCTATCTCTGGCCTCCTGGTGCTCCCAGTGGCAGAAGGGCTGCGGCCGGCTGTTTCTTTTTGCTTCCTTCCCTCACTCCCTCGCTGTCTTGTGCAGGTACCTTGAGGTTATGCGGAAGCTCCAGAAGACATACCGGATGGAGCCAGCCGGCAGCCAGGGTGTGTGGGGCCTGGATGACTTCCAGTTTCTACCCTTCATCTGGGGTAGCTCGCAGCTGATAGGTACTGAGCAGAGGCCCCGCTGGTCTGCTGCCCCCCTCTACTCCCCGCTCTTCCCCCCTCCCGCCCCTCCTTCCCTCTCCTCCTGCCCAGGGCCCATGGTCAGTGACAGCTTGTACAGCAGGACATTAGACCGGCTACTGATAGAGGCTGTTTGCTGTCGACCTGCGGCTGCTCTCCGGGGTGTCGGGCTGGGGGAGAGGTGCAGGCGGAGCGCCACCGAGATAATGGAAAGTGACATTGGCTGGGCTGCCGCGGGCGCCCACCCACCCCATGCATAGTGGACTCCTGTGAAATGCTCCCCAGCCTCTGGCAGCAGCTGTGTGTGTGTGAGCGGTGTTATGTGGAAAATGAGGGGCTCTTTTGACTTGGTGACCAGCGTCATAGCCCATCCGCTGTTATTCTCCAGCCCCGTGCAAAGCTGGGGTGGGGGCGGCAGGGGGCTGCTGCCAAGTGCTGGGCGGTGGCCCGTCGGGAGGGGGGAAGGGGGTGCAGCCGGTTCTGCTCTGGTGATGCCTTCAAAATGCTTTTCTGCACGATCTCCCTGGGGTGGGGGTGTGCATCTTGGGGGTTGAAGTGTTGTGGAGAGAAGGCCTTATTTTGACATAGAATTAATTGCCTATGAAATAATATTAGTAAACGGCCACTTGGCCAGGCTCTGCTCTCTCTCTGTCAGGCCCTGCTAAGTGCTTCAGATCGATTCTCTCCCCAGTGGCCCCGTAAGGAGGGTCTTTGCCAACCTGCTCACAGCTACCCTCCCCCGAGCCAGGCACCTCCCTAAGGGCTGTTTTGTCAGCTCAGCGACCCCCGGGGGGAGGTGGTGTCCTTACCTCCTTCCCAAATGAGGACCCGCAGCGAGGAGGAGGCAGAGTCTATGACTGCGCACACGCTCCCGTGGGATTGTGTGCTGAGAGCATCGGGGCTGGGTGTCGGCCGGGGCTGGGCTGCTGGGCCCAGGAGGTGTACGCGCCAGGTTCTCGACCCTAGGGTGCTTTGCTTTTCCCAGACCACCCCTCTTTGGAGCCCAGACACTTTGTGGACGAGAAGGCCGTGAACGAGAACCACAAGGACTACATGTTCCTGGAGTGCATCCTGTTCATTACTGAGGTGAGGGCTGGCCCCGGCAGGGTGGGGCTTTGGAGTGGGACCCAGGAACCTGGCTGCTGGCACCAGGAGAGCACCTATTGAACAGGAAGCCCCATTTGGTCTCTCCTGAAAGCCACCAGGAGTGTCTCCACCGGACCCCCGGGCTCCTTGAGCTGAGGGGCTGACGCGCTCACTAACTGGAGGTCTCAAGTCTCGAGTGGGGGGGGGGTGGGGGGCAGAGGGCGTGTGTGTGTGTGTGTGTGTGTGTGTGTGTGTGCACGTGTAGCATCTTTCAAGAGGACCTGTGGAGCCAAGTGCACGTAGATGTGGTAGAGGAACACTGGGGGCGTTTCTGCTGCAGGGACACACCAGGGAGAAGCCTGGCCAGGCAGTTAGAGCGTCCCAGCTCCCCGTGGCCAGCAGTCGGCTCAGGCCTCTGCCACAGGTCACACTCCTGGGCCCAGAGGTTTTCAAGCGAGCGCACTCACACCTGCTGCTTAGCACGGTAGTGAGCCCCGGGTCGGCAGGAGTGGGGGCAGCCTGGCTCACGACTGCTCGCCTCTGGCGGGGACTCTGAGGGTCCAAAGAGCCCCAGGAGCCTCAGGACAAACAGGAGGGGCTGGGTGGAAGAAGGGGTGCAGATTGCATGCTGGGACTGGCCTGCTGCTCTTCCTTGTGGTGGGTCAGTGCTGCTCTGGTGCCCCCTGGTGGCTGGCAAGCCCCGGGTCCCTGCCAATAACTTATCGAGGACAGGGCTCACAAGAGAATTGCTTTCAGGTTGGAATTTTGTGTTTCATTTGTTTGGTTGGTTACTGCGACAAAAAGAACACGCACACACGCATGCACGTGCACACACATATAAACACAAGCTTTCCCAAAGTTGGGGACCCAGTTCCCTGCCGGTGGAAATCCGACAGTGGCCACTAGGTGGCACTGACGGCCCATGGAACGCCCAGTACCAGTTCTATGGAGGACCTTGGTGCAGGGCCCTGGATTCCAACCTGGGACCCTACAGGACGGTTTCCAAGGCTGCCAGTCTTTAAAGAAGCAGGCGCCTGTATCTTTCTCCCTCAGAGCAGCTGGTAGGGTCCAGGTGCCAACCATCCAGGTCGCAGCCAAGCGCTCCGTAAGTGGGGAAGAAGTGTGAGTAGGGAGGTGGGGGCAGGACCAGTCTTTAGCCATTCTGACTCCCTCTGGTTTCCTCTTGGGCTGTAGGGCACAGTGTTACAAAGGCTGTTAGGAGGGGGCCGTGTCCCATGGTTTGAAGTCACTGTAGGCAAGATCTTGTACCCACCGAGGGGCCCTGGTTGCCTAATGGTTATGCACTGGGCTGTCAACCACAAGGTTGGCAGTTCGAAACCACCAACTGCTCCTCGAGAGAGCGATGAGGTTATCCACTCCCATAAAGAGTACACTCTCGGGAAGCCACACTGCCCATCCAGGGTCACTGTGAGTTGACAGCGACTCAAGGCAGTGAGTTTGATGTGCCTTTTTTGAAGCAGCCTACGCGTTTGAGTGCATGTGCCCGTGTGTGTTCTGCAGAGCCTGTGACTGGGCTCCCAGCGCCTTCCACGGGTTTTTTTTGCAGCCCCTGTGGGTGGTGGGTGAGTGACCCTGGCCTGTGGGACCTGGGCCTGCCTGGGCGGTGCAGCTGCTGGAGAGCGGGATCTCAGTGCACTGGTGCAGCTGGGAAATTTACCAAAACGACCAAAGTTGGGACCGGAACCGGGGTTCCACGTGGGACCTGCCCTCCTAGCCCCAGGCATCCATCCCGGATGGGGGACCCCACCTTCTGGGGCTTCAGCCCTCTCAGGAAATGCAGCGCTGGCGCCTTTAAGAGCCTAGGGCTGGCAGGAAAAGAATTTCAGTTTCAATCTGGCTTCTAAATTGGGAGTTTTGGGAAGGGAGGGATCAGATTTCAGCTGGAAGGGAAGGAGCTGACAGGAAGGCGCTGTGCAGAGCCTCCCCCATCCCCCGCCCCATCCCCCCCTCAGTTACTGACAGAGGAACCATTTACAAAAGGCCGATTCTCTCGGGAGTGGAGAGGCAGGAACGCAGCGGCTGTGAGTAATTTCCTGCTCAATATGGCTGCTCTGACTCACACGATTCCCCTGGGGTCACTGCGGGACTGCAGCTTGCTCGCTGGTGCTCGCTCATTCTCTTCTCCCTTTGTGGCTAGAATGAACTCATTTTTTTTGGTTTTCTCGCCCCGATTCCTTTCTCCTTCCCCACGCTCCTTTCCCATAGCAGCTCCTGCCCCCTCCTGAAGGGCTAGGGGGGGGCCCTTCAGGCTCGGAAGGCCTCAGGGCACATCCCCCCCCTTGAGAACCAGCACCTCTGGCCCTTCCACTGGTGGGGGCCCAGGACCACAGAGGCTCCAGGGCAGCAGGCCAGGGGACTTTGGAGGACCCCCTTCCTGGGCCCCTAGTTAGAGAGCATGGCTGGCCCAGGAACTGTCACCTCTGGTGGCCTCTGCCCCAGGCGCGGGCTGCACAGGCCCCTGGAGCTGCTGCAGTTGGCCAAAGCAGCTGGTGCCACCCAGGTAGCTTGCCCACAAGGCCCTGTCCAGAGAGTGAAGGTGGTGACAGTTCCAGTGACCCCTGAGCCCTTGGGGCTGGGGTGGGAGCTTGGCTAGGCCCCAAGCACCAAAAGCATGGGGGAGGGGCAAGGCTCAGGGGAGGGGAAGGAGGAGGGGCCCGGGAGGCTGGAGGTGGAGTCTGATTGAGTGGAGCAAAGTTGGTGCAGGCCAGGCCTTGCAGGCTGGCTTGCTGACCTCGGCTGGACAGAGTTTCGGGGGGGTGGGGGACAGTCTGGGAGAAAGGGAGGAGCCCAGTGAAGCCTGCTGGCACCTCGGGCTGGCCTCCCTGCGGGAAAGCCTGGAAGAGCACCTTGAACAGAACCTAGAGACAGACTTATTGGGAGCCTGGGGCCAGCGGGTGACTTGTTTTTACTTTCAACCCCCGAGTTGCCCTGGTTGGAGCTTCTGCAGGGAGCTGGTGGGTGCGGGCCAGCTGGGCCGAAGCTGTAGGGCAGGACATAGGTGCTTCTGAAGGCCCAGACAGCTAGGATCCCTCCAACATGGGGGGAGGGAGCCAGCTCCCCAAATCCCCACGACACCTCTTCTGGAACCTTCCACTCGTTCGTTCCCTTTGCCTTCGGAGCCACTTGGTTAATAAAGACGGTGTGTGGCCTGGTGGCGCCTGCAGGGCACACGACACACTAGCCTGCGTCTCTCCTCTGGTGTCTGAAGGGGCCTTGACTGGGCTTGCCGCAGTCTTTGCCCCTTTCCTGGAGGGGCAGGCTTTCAGCAAAGAAGAGGGACCAGGAGTGGAGCACCCTTCCCCGACCTCTGACCCGGGCCGGGCTGGGCTGACTGTGACCAGACCTGTCTTCCCAGAGTGCCGCACATGCGTTGACGTCTGGGTTTGGGGCTTCCCCACCTGGGCCCTTCTCCGCCAGAGCCCCCCTGCTGCTCTTCAGCCCTGGTGGCAGGTGCAGGCTCAGCGGGGGACACTGACCACCGCTGAGCCTGCCCTTTGTCTCTGGGCAGCCTGAGTGGGGGCGGGGCCAGGCACGCTGGGGCCCCAAGGGAGCTGGTAGGAGCTGCACCCAGAGCTCCAATGAAGGTTTTCGTTCTCTCCTTGTGGCTGCTACAGTGAGTGGGAGGTGGGAGTCAAGCCCCTCTGGTTGAGGGAGAAGGGGTGACTAGAGGGTTAGGCAGGGAACACTGTGCACCCCCTTGGGTCTTCACAGGCACTGCTGCGTGTCACTGCTGCCTGCTCCCCCCCCCCCCCAGTTTTGTGCGCCCATGCTGTTGGGGAGGGGAGCGAAGGCGAGTTTCCAGGCTGCTCCCCACCGAAGCTGTGTGCTCTCTCTTCCAGATGAAGACAGGCCCCTTTGCTGAGCACTCCAACCAGCTGTGGAACATCAGTGCTGTCCCCTCCTGGTCCAAAGTGAACCAGGGTCTCATCCGAATGTATAAGGCTGAGGTAAGTGGGGGTGCCCACAGGGAAGGTGTGGGTCCTGAGTCCTGGACTCCTAGTCCTCTGGTGCTTGGGACTGAAGATTCTCCCATCTGTGGAATGCCAAAAACCAAACTCACAATCTCTGAGTCGATGCTGACTCATAACAGCCCTCTAAGACAGGGTCCAACTGCTCCTGTGGGTTTCTGAGACTAACTCTTCATGGGAGTAGAAAGCCCTCTCTCTCCCACGGAGAGACTGATGCTTTTGAACTGCTGGCCTTGCGGTTAGCAGACCAGTGTGTAGTCACTGCGCCAGCAAGACTCCTGTGGAGCCCTGGGCAGTTGAAAAGCCCAGCTCTGCTCACGACTGGGGGTGGGGGGTTCTCTGCTACCTAGGGGGGCCCCATAGTGCCCACCAGTCAAATGACTAGTGGGCTCTGATCCTGCCTGGGAGGGGTCCTCAAGACGAAGGTGTGCCTGGGGAAGAGGGTGTCCCAGCTCAGTCCTTGGGCTGCAACCACTCAGGGGAGGGCTGGTGGCACTGGCAGCCCCACCCTTGTCTGAAGAGCCTGCTGAGCCCCAGTGCACCGCCTGTTGCTGGGGCCCATCCCACGCCTGCTCTGCCTTCTCCTCTCCCCCTGCATCTCTCCTGCCCACCACCCAGAAACAGATATATGGAGCCTGGCCACTAGCTCATCGTATTGGACACTGCCCTGTAGGTGCCCTCACTGCCTTCTGAGTGAGTGCCCCTGTCTACTCTCCCAACCTTGGATCCCAGTTACAGAGGTGGAGAGCTGGGGAAGGGGGCTTGAGTGGGCACACCACCCCAGGTTGGGGTGTTTTTAGTTGAACCAGAGCCTGCTATATGGCCCTGAAGGGGTTAATGCTGCGGGTGGAACTGACCGGGCCTGGCCCTCTCTCTCCCTTCCGCCTCCCACCCGCCCAAGTCCCCTTCCTCTGTACTTCACATCCTGTGTTTAGGCTCCAGCCCACATACCTCTCTAATCGGACAGGCGTCACTGGCCGGGGCTCTGCAGGCTCCTTCCGGCTCCAGCCCACCCCTCTGCCCAGCTCCCCACGCTGGCTCTGCCTGGCCAGACAGCACCAGGCCACACTGCCTGCTGGTGGCCTGTTGTTCCTGACACTCCGCCCGCCCCATCCAGTTGTACAGTGGATGTGGATGGATGGGGAACCTGTTCACCCTGGTTAGCTCTTCCCATTGCAGAGGTAGGGTAGTCTGCAGCATTGGGGGGCGGTGTGTGATGCCCCCCAGTCCCCTGGTATGTCAGAGTCCCAACTCTGCCCAGCTTTCCCCGATTAGGACGGGAAGTGCTGACGTTCCGGTAGGATCTTAGTGGGGTGCCTGCAAAGTGACCTTGAGAGGTTCCCTGCAGGCAGGACTAGATTCCGCCCCTCCCGTCTCCAGAGGCCCAAGAGCTCCGGGCTGCCGGATGGCCGAATGGACTGGGTGGGGAAGGAGGAACAAGTGGAATTCACTATGGTACTGGTGGAGCAAGACCCCCAGGAGCAGGGCGGACAGTGTAGTGGTCGGTTCCCGTGCAGAGTGGGCAAGGACTGGTATGCATGTCAGTCAGTGATGGCAAACTGCCCTCCACTGCGGATAGCCCAGTGCCCATCCTGAACTCGGGAGCCAGCTCTGGGGACAAAGGCAGCCTGTGGGGGCGGCACAGCGTGGGGGCTCCCTTCAGCTTCTGGAGCCAGCATTTCTCTCGGGGTGGCGCGCTGCCCCCGACTCTCAGGAGCACAGCGTGGTGATGTCCGCCCATCTGTGAGTTAGAGTTGGTCCTGACCCTCTGGTTGGTGAGCACTCATGGAATTGCTTGTTCCGGCCCAGAAGGGCCAAGCAGAGGCCTTGCTTTTTCAGATCAGTTTCCAGCCCATGGGGTCGATGGTCTACCTCGAGGCCCAGCACTCTCAAAAGTCGAGGCGGGGGTTAGCGAGTGGAGGGCCCAGCAGCCAGCTGGCCTCTCTGAGCTGACAGGTCTGATCAGACCCTGCCATTGGCCCTGGCTCAGGAGTTTGGGTCTCGCTTACTCCAGGCTGCCTGTCCCCTTGTTTTTGAAGGGGACCACCCAATGCCTTCTGGACGGGTGGGTGCTACAGACCCTGTCGGGGCCTTCCTCCCCTTGAGTCACCAAGACCTCACAGCCGCTGGTCCTGGCCTGGGCTTCTGGGCGGAAGCTCTAACGGTCTCTAAGAGGTCAGGCTGCAGCTGTTGCTCTGCCCAGGTGCATGGGGTGGGACCTTCAGGGTCTAGTTAGCTGGTCTGGGCTAACTCGACTGAGCTAGAGCGCCCACCAGAGGCGCCCTTCTCTGGCCCCCAAGCTGTGGACTTCTGGATCCCAAGCCACTTCCCTCAGCTCCTGTAGGCCACGGGGAGCACTTGAGGAGCCCCTTGGCCTTCTCCTAGAGAGGGGCCCTATGGGTAGACTGATCATCTGCTTCTCCTCCAAGGCGTGTAAGCCCTGAACCCCCAGCTTCTTGCCTTTGCAGTTTCTCTTGGAGAGCTAAACGCAGGTTGACCTTTGACCCTTGCTGGAATTCCAGGGCCCTAGGGGGCCCCCTTTTCCAAACTCCCACCACTTCCGAAATGACATAAGCACTGTGGCAGCTGCCCTGGCCTCTGTGGTTGCTGCTCTTCCCCCCCCAGGGACCACCCTGGTTGCCTGCTCCCCACTTTCTCTGCCAGAAGCTGGGAACCTGCTCCCACACTGTAGCTCCAACCCTGGGCCCTCCGCTGCCCAGAAGGGGGTCCTTTTCCCTTCTTTCCTCTCTCCCTTTTGGGTCTCGTGAACCTCCCAGTCTCCTCCGCACGCAGCCGGCCAAGGCCCCGCCAGCCTGTGTGCCCCAGGCTTTCTGCGGCCAGTTGTTGAGGTCCAGCACCCCTGGCTCCTTCGAAGTCCGTGGTTCTCAACCTTCCTAATGCCTTGACACTGTAATACAGTTCCTCATGTTGTGGTGATCCCCCCAACCTAAAATTACCTTCGTTGCTACTTCATAACTGTCATTTTGCTACTGTTATGAATCGGGCGACTCTTGTGAAAGGGTTATTTGACACCCCCCAAGGGGTCCCGACCCATAGGTTGAGAACTGCTGTTGTAAGTAACCCCACGATTGGGTCCCTGGCAGCAGCATGAAGCCGGGCGTCCACCTCAGTCAGGAAGAGCTCAGTGCATTCTAATGGTCTCTGTGGCAGAGGTGGAGGGAGGAGGCCCTGGGCCCAGCTGGCAGATCTCACGTGTCCGGAGCAGCTCAGCGTTGATAGTGCGCTGCTGACCAGAGCCTGTGTGGTGGTCACAGCAGGGCCGGGCACAGGCAGCCTGAGGCTAGGAGCCCGACCTCTCCCCGGCCCTGTGCGCTCAGGTAGCTGGGAATGGCCCTGTGGGTGGGCGTCAGCAGGTCCTGCAATGCCCAGGTGCCTTTTTGGAAATAACGACTATGAGCAAACAGACCTAGCCCTCACACACCTGCGCATGGCTGTCATCTCCATGGCTGTCACCCCCATGTCGTTTGTCTTCAGGGGCCAGGCTCCCATCTAGAGGGGGAGTTGCAAATGCTTTTTTTTACTAAATTTTGCTTTGTTGAGAACATACTCAACAAAACATACCAGGGGGCTTTTCATAAATTCAGGGAACATTTTATCCTGTTAATTTCATCTCCCATGAACTTTGTGAAACTTGTGCATATGACCAGTCCGGCAGTTTCAGCATGCGCCATTCAGGGACGTTGATGGGACTCTCTTGAGTTGTGTCTCCATCCACACCCTCCTCTTCCCGCTTAACCTCCGTTGACGCTCACCTGAGGTTCCTAGCGGAACTTTCCAGTGGCTGCTGTCCATTTGACCCCAGAGAGACCTTTACAACGATGATGCTCCAGGCAGACTTTTTTACTAGTTCAGTGAAACTGTTGTTTGGTTATAAGATGACTTCAGGGGATATTTTTGGTTCAAAGGGTAAAGGTGGTCTCAGGGCAGTTGTTTCAGGGGTTGGCTAGTCTACCCTCCATGGCTCCAGGAAGTTTAAGTCCGTGAGAATTTAAAAGCCTGTTGTGCATTCCCGCCCC